ATCCTCGGGATTATTTCCATTTTATTTCCCGTTCTGTCTCTTAAGGATATTTGTCTTAGATATTCACAATACACAAAGTAATATCATATAAAACGTCTTTTTCGTCACTAGGGCATAATTTAACCCCTTTTTCATAAGATTCATGATTTAGTAATCAAGGAGGACTGAGGATAAGTTTATCACCTTATCCCCACAGTTATTTGAATCAGTACATAATTTTTATTAAAAAAGAACCAGTTTTTTGACCAGACAGTCAACAAAACCTACTTTTATTTACCTTGTCTTGTAGGCTTTCCTCTATTTATAAATATGAGAAAGACCTTATCCCGTTTCTAAAATATAATTCAGACATCAGCTCTTTTTATAGCTAAGATTCATTGTTAAACAACATGATAAGTAGTTATAGGAAACGTTTTCCATGAAAATTAGATGCTAAGCAAAGGCGTCCTGGATAGATCTATATTAGATTCATTTTAAAGGATTCTCTGTGACTTGAAATTTACTTGTCCAAGAGCTAATGATCATAATTATTTAATAATTAGGCCCTAGTTTAGATTATGATGTTGGATACTTGGCTAGACAAATAAACATAATTTATGTTTAAATTAAATTGAAACGTGAATCCATTTCACACTCTAATACAGATATTTTTATTCCAAGTCATACTAAAAACTCGTCCTAATTCTGAGCTTAACTACACCCAAACAGGACATAACTCATATTTATCGTTTGCTTTGGACTCCAACTTTATATATTCCAACAAGACGGAAGTTCTCAGTGACTAATATACGGCACAATAAAGTTTCCTAATTAATTCAATTGCATAGAGAATAATTCTCGTTCTCAAACTCTCTTTCTTTTATTTTTTTGACAATGTCCAAAAATGTAAGCTAAAAGATATCTGAAATAAATCGCGTATATCTCTTCAGTTGGAGTTTTTCGTAATATTAGATTTACTTGTGTTTTCGAGACTAATATGAATAAGTGATATGCTATAGCGGAGAGGTTTGTTGAGTCTAGGTGAGCTGAAGCCTACTTGGAACCTCCGTTTCACAAAACTTTTTTTAATTAATGATATTATCACAAATAGCTCTAGTAAAATTTATTTATCTTATTAATAAATTTGATTTTAGCCTGCAATTAGTATCACATTAAGCCAAGCATATTTGTATGTAGCATGGCTCAAATTTTTGCTTTTTAGTCGGTTGTTCTGATGATATCAAAGAGTGATGGAAGGATGTTCAAATCAGATTCATCGAGTTCCGATTCTGGTTCACATACTAAAGTGTCTAGTGAAATATGAGTAAAGATAATATAAATATTGAAATTCGTTTTGAAGAGTAAATATATCAAGAGCATACTAAAGCTTAAACAATTAAAGTTAGCCATTAAAAGCCAGCGTTTGGCTCTACAAGCATTCTGATAATGTTACTGGATATAATAATATTATAATAAGCCATTTAATTTATGCAGCATGTACTGGAGTTTTTGTCTGGAAATCGCTACGATGTTGTGGTGAAAAATATTAGCTCAACTGTCTAGTAGAGATGAACCATATTATTATGTCTGAATTCCCCCCAACATTATTTATCATCGAAACTCAGCTTATCTTCGTATCTAATTTTTTTAATGACTGAGCCTTATAGCGAGCAAAGATTTTAAAAATATAAGCACTTTTTGGCAAAATTCATGCTTAACTTTATTGATTGCATTTGATTTCTTCAAGTATTCTAATAGGGCTTTTAGTACGTCCTTAACCCATATAAAATGTAAAATAGCTCATCATCTTGCTAGATTCAGGCTATGAAGACAAAAATAGCATGAGTTCTTGATATTTTAAATAGATCTACTTCGAAATTTAATTGGTTTATCTACTATTCTCAAGCATATTGCTAGACTTTTGAACGTATCTATTTCTGCGTTCCTCATCACTATGGATATGTGTCAATCTTAAAATTGATCCAGACATACATCATTTCAAAATCTTTCGCGTCATTTTCTTTGGCATTTGCATGGAGAAGAAACAGGCTAAGCACTATTTTGCGACTAGCAATACAGACAAAATAACACCATGGACATGGCAATATTGCAAACGTATGTGTAGAGCAGAACTATGCAAATTGCCACTAAAATTGAATTCTGAAAAAAATAACTAGAATTACCTCTACCATATGACTTTAATCAGACTTATAATTTGAGAAATATTCCTAAGCAACTATCACACATCATCACAGTTAATAGCATTTCTGCTATCAAAGCTTTT